TCCTGTTGTTTTCACTTCCAGATTGTTTATCCCACCTATCTTACCTAGATAGACATGCAAAAACAATAATAAGCACAAAAACAAGGCAAAACAAAACCTAAAAAAAAACTCAACAAAATGAAAAGCCTATAAATAGTTCCAGGTCTGTTTGGTGAACTTTATGGGTGTTTTCTGGTTGAGCCTGATGGGGTGCCACGCCCTGCCCCCAAAGACTATTTTTGGAACAATATTTCATTCTTAATGGGCGAGACAAGTTTCTGAAATACTGGTTAGTTAGGATATATTTATTAATGAAAGTTCTTTATAATAACAGAACTGAACTACAAGAAACAAAGTAAAATTTTTAGAGGAAAAATTCAGCTCTTGTGATTAATTTTTTCAGCAGGTCGATTTGATTGTAAAATTCTGAAATTGTACTTGTGCCATTCTTTCATTGTAAGTACTGTTCTGTTAGGTCAGAGTCTAAATTTCTAATATTTGTTTTTACTAATAGGTCCAAAGAAACTACTGATTTTCTACAGATAATAATGATAATAAACTAAAAATAGATAGAATTATGTCACAGGCATTTTCTGTTTTTACCTTTTTCAAATTTCTGTTTTCTTACATATAAAACATATTAAGTCATTTTGTCTCATATGAATTAAGACATTTAAGTAACTTAGTGCTATCTTATTCTAAGTAATTCTAAAACAGATTTCTAGTTACTTAGCCACAAATTCTTGTGATATTTCATAAAATGATAGGAAAATTCTCTTAACTTTACTATAAAATCTTCAGGGCTTAGAGAATTATTTTTGCTCACTTTCCAGAATTAACAGCTAAAATTCAGCTGTATTCTAATCTTTATCATGAGGGAGTGTACTGATAAGTGGGTTCTTCTACGTGAACCTATTACACGATGTGTAACTGTTTTCCTTTCTAACAGCGACTAGCATTTTGTTTCTGGCAGTATTACTGCTGTAACATATCTATCAAGTCTGCCTCAGTTACCTCACCTAGAGATCTTGCCATGTGCATGCTTCTGCCAGGTTTACCAGGTTTTGAGTAAGCTGGTGGCTGTTCTTCCCAAGATTTTACCTACTACCCTTCTCAAGAGAATTTGCTTATGTAGTTTCAGTGACAGTTTGAAGTCACCTTGATTTTTAGTAGTAGTCTTGGGCGTTTGACATGTTTTTCTCTAAGTTTTGAGTATTCTAAAAATCTTTCGTGAGAGCCATTCTTAATTCTTTTTAATATTTCAATTTTATGTGGATTGTCTTGAAATGTAAATCTTCATGACTTGTATGTATTGCTCTGCCTCATGATGATTAGAGTTGATAGTTTAGAAAAACAAATCAAGGCACTGAATTTTTTTTTTTTTGGTGAGAAAAAAGCCAGGAAAATTTTATTAGGAATGCTTGTTTGCTTTTTTGTTTTTCATCTTGACAATGCGCCTTCTCATGCTTCCAGGAAAGCAAGGAAACTTTCTTTACTTTTTTTTTTAAATCAATTTATTAGGGGCTCATACAACTCTTATCACAATCCATATACACATCAATTGTGTAAAGCGCATTTGCACATTCATTGCCCTCATCATTCTCAAAATATTTCCTCTCCACTTAAACCCCCGGCAT